TCAGATTTGCTGAACCGTATGCCTTCCTGGAAGAGATAGTCAAGTTGAATGGGAACTATAAGCAGGTCCGTTTCCTAAGTGATGGGGGATAACCCTCGGTCTGTATATGGCTAGTCCTTTTCTCTTTTTTTTCAAATGAGGTCGAATTTCAGGGTAAGAAATGCGCGAAGCTTGCTGTTCTGCTTGGAGTGGAGACTCCAGTTGCCACGCGCTGTCGCTATGTGCCCTGTCTGCCCTTATCGCCCATGATGAGCGATATCTCGGAAAATACATTCCATGAAGTCATCGCAAAGGTATTTCCTTCATAAATATCATATTGGGTGCTAGTAGTCTTGGAGGGGGGGGGGCATTAGAAGGAATGTTCTCGCAAAACAAAAAAGCGTCACTCAAGAAGGAATTCCGTCTTCCAAGTTGTTTCACTTACCTCCGCCTCTGGCATCGGGCAAACCCCTCATCTCATCGCGAGAATTCCAATCGGGGCACGCCGTACGCTGGATATTCCAGGGGAAGGGAGGGGCCATGCATGGCCGCTGGAGAGAGGGAGTCCTACTTGACCTTCAGAGAAATGGCTTCGGCGTTTTGTTCTCTAGTGTTTTCCTGTTTAATGTGCTCTGTATACCCTCTCTCTCCACGCTGCCCCCAAACCCTCGCTCTATGGCATTTTCCTGGGGAGAAAAACTGGAAAATTCCCGAGGATAAACTTCGGAAAGGTGCTAGGTAGGCGGGAGAGGGAGGAGTGTCGTAGCAGGGGAGCGAATTTTGAAGGGAGTCGTATTTTGCATAATTTCTCCATAACGGCTGTAAGTGCCGTTACTCAAATTTTGCAGGAGCTTCCTTTATATCCCCTTCAAGATTATTCAGCGTCATAATATTGTTTTTACGTCTTTACAGTAGTTTGTTTAGGCAAGAGATTTGCCGGTCGTACATGAATTGTGTATCCGTATCATGGAGTCTCCCTACGTTCCAGCGGTAATTTTCTTTTTACTTTCGATTGGCCAGAGAGTTTGTCTAGAGCTGTTGCGGACTAAAATGTCTTACGCTCTCTATTTTTTAAGTGGATGTCTGTACATCACCTATTAAAGTCCCAGGTAAACCAATTTATCGATTCTCGCGTCTCTGTCTCCTTTGATGGTTGGATAGGTAACCCTTGCCTGCGAAATGCTGCAGCGCACAACGCGATGATTACCGTTCTGCATCTCCAACACCAGTTTCTGAAATGGGTGTTTTGAGCAAAGCCTTTGTTTGAACTTGGGAATCTTCTACTTTACCTTCGTTCATTGCTAATCGCAATACAGGTCATTCAACCCCAGTGCGCGCATTTATGAGTGATGAAGGCACAGTCCGTGATGATCAAATGTACAGAATATCGTCCTTGCAAAATGTGGCTCGGTGCGCAGTTCCGAAGGATCCACTACCTTCGAGGCTCAGGGGTGAATAGTAAGGCCAAAATACTGTTGCGACGGTCAAGCTCCTCCTACGGGGACACCTTCCGCCTTTTTAAATCGAATTAGCATTATTTCAGTATGGTCTTGCTCGTTTGCGCATCTCTCTGCTTTTCGTCATCTGTTTCTCTTCGCCGCTTGCTTTATCCTTAAAAGCAACAATGATCTTATTTAGCGCGTTTTGTACGATTTCTTTTGCATTGTTTCTCATCAGTTGCTCATTTCCATTTACACCATCTGCTTAAAAGGATAAAGGATAAAGTCTTCGCCGTTGATATATTCGCACAACCCATAATTTCGAATCGTGGAACAAATCCTTGAAGGCGGTGAGCACGATTGCTGAAGGCGGGCGCTTGTTGCCAGCGTCATTGGTGGAAGGGCTGTGGGAGAAGGTTCGGACACACTCTATTCAGAATTTCCACCAATGAAGTTAGCGACAACTACCCGCCCCAAGCCATCTGCCGACAACCTCGCTAATACCGTTTTCGTCCTGGAACGTTCGATATCCACTTGTGTTTTCGACCTGGAACGTTTGATTTTCACTTGTGAAAGAGTCCATACACCCAAGATACCGAGTCCTCGCGCCTCAAAGCCTACCGTTTTTTAGGTCATGGAAGAAATCTACGCTTGTGCTCTATTGAACGCCCCGCAGGACAAATTGATGGAAACGCTGGATCTTATCCAAAGTCATAGATCCGCTCGAAAACGGAAGGATCATGAAGAAGTGAAAATCAGTGACAAACTAGTGATTGATGCAATGTATGCAAGGGTACGATTTTCATTTTATCTGGTAATGGTGATAGCGCAGTGATGTCATTTTTGAATATGTAATTTGTTCTAATTTTGAATGGATGGGAATGGAAGAACTAACTCTTTAGACACGATCATGGCAATATGTTGCACGACCTGATGATGATTCTCGTCTCACTCTTCGCGACTGCTCTGATCTCAGTACTAGTGAGGTTAGATTGATTTCACCAACTTTTGAATGACAACTTAACACTTTAACAGTTTTATTGGCCCTAATTTTCGGCTTAGGGGCCTTTGTTGCGGCCTGTAAGGTCCAAGATGAAGAATGTGAGAAGACAATCGTAATCGAAGCGCTGGTGGGCGTGGCGAGCGACGCCGTGTCTGACAAAGGGTTGTCTTGCCTGTCCGTTTCAATATGAGTGTTGAAGGAATGGAAAAATTCGTTATCACCCATCATGGAGCAGGCCTTCACTTATTTATATGAGTTTCGCTGTTTCATTTAACGAAATGATGCACATAAAGGGAAGGGGGAACGATTTCTGGAAGCGGGTGGTTGTTGCCAGCGTCACTGGCGGAAGAACTGCGAGAGGGCACACCCATATTCGGCCCTCCCAGCAATGACGTTGACGGCAACCGCCCGCCTCCAGCATTCATGTTTAAAGATTTGCGGCGCATCGTCACGCAATACGCCACGCGCGACGAAGCGGCGAATCACGATTGTCTTCACCGTCTCCCCAAGATCAGTGGGACCTACCGCTGAATGCCATTTCAAACTCTAGAACGGTTTGTTGTGGAGCAACGCAAGTGGGGGGGGGGTCATAGCTAAAAACATAATTCGACTTATTTTTCAAACGCACGGCTCATTCACGCTTCTAGCACCGCTAGAGTCACTCGAGTGGGTGGCTTCAGATGACACAGCCGGCGCATTTCGGCTCGGTGGGAGCACCAATGGTACTCAGCGAAGCTTGTAAAGGTCACCTTATGAGAAACTGTAATACTATAACCAAAATGGCTACTCATACTGTTTCCCAGCTTCACAAGCCTTTACAGGTTCCACCAAAATGAGACCTGCTTGCTAAAGCTCGTGAATTCACAAAGCGAAGTGGCGGAAGTGCGAAGAGCCCCCCCTCCACCTCCCCTTTGCTGAGCCAAACAGCGCCGACATAACCGTTCGAAATGAAGCCACTTGTAGTTGAAGTCCACACAGATCAGCGATCGGGGCAATGTTGTAATAGTGAACTGCTCTCAAGTTTAAGGCAGCGGCCCAAGGTAAGTCGCGCATATCTTGGACATTCCAGGCTCCGACGAAGGTGACTGAGCTGAAATGTAAGTCGAATGAAGCTGCGTTAAAATTTTGGCGGGGAAACCGTGTTGTTCCGGAGGGTGCCATTATTCGGTTGTATGTGATTTTTTTTCATCATTAAGGTAGCTGCATTGTTAACCAACATAAGCTCTTCTCTTGCACTATGTACAGCACTGACCGAAGCGGAGTGTGATCCGTGGACGAAGAACGATTTTCTGCTGAAATATGAGCAGGTAACAAAATTACATGAGTTTTGTCAACTATACAAATCGTTCTCCGAGTTTTTATTTTCCTAGGCTTTGCGTACCCTTGAACCGCAGCTCAATGATCATATGGTCGAATCCGTCCCGCCATCGATGCTTATTTCACAAATTACGTCAGATGCAAATGTTACTGCTTTGGACAGGTTGTCAGATTACGGTAAGTCTTTGTAGTGTTTTAGTAGATTACCGAAACCCTTTTCCTGCATTGTTTCCAGTGTTCGACAAATTAGTGAATTCCTGGTGAAAGCACTAGTATCGGGAACCTTTCTTCAGTTTTTACTTTTAATGAGCATTTCTGATCTTCTCGTAAAGGAGTAGCGATTTTCTCGTGCTTTCCGTAGATGGGAAGCAGGACAACGAGAAAAGACCGACTAGATTGATTTGCTTCCGATCTCGGCTTCCCACCCTTCCCCGCCCCACCCCCCCCCCTTTTTTTCATAGCAAAAACAGCTTATGTGAGTGGTTTCTGACTGAAATGAATTTCTCATCAAAGGCACATGTCCGCTAGTCCGCGCTGGTGGTCTGGACGGAGACATCCTGCTATCGCATTCCTTATAGGTACGCTCCTTCTTTCCATCACGTTTAGAAGGAAGAGCGCGTCGCCTAAGGAAATCCGGGTATTCCTGCTCATAGAGCAGCTAGAAATGACTTTTGTATTAAAATCCAGAGCCCAGAGGAGTGCGGATGCATTCTCCTTTTTCTTGTTCCACGTTTACTGTCCGCCCTCGCCGCAGAAGCGGGGGTCCGCTGTTTCGGTGTCGTAAGTACAATTTCCCCGACTGTCTGGTCGGATTAAAAATGGCTTTTGTTCTCACCGTGTGCAGCATGTCAAATCAGCGCATCTGGGAAGTTTGGGCCGCCTGGGCGAGTGACGTCAGCATCTCGAACTGGAGGGTAGCCTTAGGAAAGGTGTCAGCTCTCGCGCAAAGAATACGACGTCCATCGAAATTGCTGTTCTAACCATGAGCATCGCCTTTGAAGCGGGGTTCTGCTAGGTGGTGCGAGCCAACGAGGTCATTGGCCAACCTTCTCTTCCCGTTTTTTCCACGGTAATGGAAGGGAGAGGAGAACGAAGCCAGTGACGTCGTCTCCTAGGTGCTGCGGTCACCCAGCTGTCTCGGGCGGTGTCCTTTGGATCGGCTTTTAATCACCTACCACCCAAATCTGAATCATCAGTACTCAAACACTTATGAAGACCATGTGAGGATATTTGCCAATTTTCAGGTTGCGACCGCGAGCGATTCGTTGAAGATCCTGAGTATCGAAAAGAGTCAATTATAGGACTAGCCATGTAAATTTTTTGATTCAAAATTTTCTGAATTACTATGTCCTTCTACTATAGTTTTGATTACTCTCAGGACTGAAGATGAAGAAATGTACGCTGATGCTCTTCGGCTAGCTGAAGATTTCAAAATGAATGACTGGCCAGTACATTTCGCCTCGCTGGAGAATGCACTTACTTCGTAAGTGTTCAATATTTGTTGAATCACGCTAACTTATGTGCACTCCAAGCAGCATTCATTATTAGCCTTTAAGCGATACGCGGTACAAACACTGTAATCACGCCATACGGCCAGTTGTGCATGACACAAAAAGCGCGTATAGCGTGAGGCGTAGTTGTAATGTGCGTCGCGTATCGAAGATAGAATGAATATGGAGCCATCACATGCCACTAGTCCCATTGCTGCTCACGTTTCAATACTTTGCTCTCGAATGTCTTGCTGTTTAGGCTGGATATCCATGAAGCAAAAGCGATACTGAAGGCACGAGGGCATCTTTCTCGATTACGCTCTGATCCCGACAGGTTACACAGTCAGCTAAGGACTCTGGTTGGCCCTCTGATGACCAGTAACGAACAGTTTATTGCCTATTTATCGCTGTTTGCTTCATGGAACAGCCGGGGGCAGCATAGCAACCGGAGCGCGCGGCTCTGCCGGTGCTGAAACGAATTCTGGAGAAGAAACGGGGTGCGTTCATCACACCGCTATTTATTTTCGCATTGCCTCCATTTTTTTTAAATTCGCAATGCCAGTGAGACCTGAGTAACTCGGATGTAGGTCAGGAGATCCACGTTGTGACGACGCGCACGGAATAGTACGTAATTTCTGGCTACGACTCGGTAAACGTATTGCTACCCCGTCCCGCGATCGAGTGATACGTGGAATGACTCCGCGCGTTTTATAGCCAAGCCCGGTGTCTGAGAGGGTGTACCACTTTCGTTACTTGGAGTGCCAGATGGAGGCGTCTGAAACCGCGTGATTTGTACCCATAATGCCTTTATGTCCAACACGGCAACTACTTACACCGCTAATTACCGCGCCTGTCCCCTGTAGTATCGGAGGATGATTTCAAATGCTCGTCGGGGAGTTGCTAGCGTGTTGAGTTTTGCTGACTGCGCCTATGCTCACGAATGTTCCGCTTTCCCTTGGATCTTGGCAGTCCGCCATTTGCCAACGATGCAATTGCACACTTCGATCCAAATGGTTTGTCAACCTATCTACGTAATTCCCGATTTCGAACAGATTTTTTACTTCGAACGGCGAGGTTTTGGTGCGAATCGCCGGCGCGCGCCAACATCGTAATGACTCTTCTTCACGTTGTCGCCACGTGGATTTCCTATACAGAGCCTCACTGATTTATGGTCGCGTTTTTTCAGATCTGAAGGCTGTACGTCTCTTCACAGACACAGACTACTTATATAATCTCATTATTTCTATTCCGGGATCGGGTAATTCTATCGCTAGTAGACGGGATTCTTGCTATTCCGGTATGGCTTCTTTAGAAATGCCATTTCCCTCGGTTGATTGGAAGTGATGGCTGTTGTATTCAGGTGGGAGCTGAAGCATGTGAAGCAGCAGCGAAAATTCTTCTCGATGGTACTGAAATAAGGCCAGCTGCGAGTCCTGCTGTTATATTCGCTCTTCTTGGCAAAGATGAAGCGAACTTCATCGATCTCGTCGCCTGCAAACCGGTGAGTGTTGGAATATATTATAGGTTCGAGCTGGTACAATCGTTATCACTGAAGGAAGTCGGGGCGTTCCTGCGGGGCATGGGTTCTCGTGGCACCAGCTCATTTCCCATCGATCGTTGGCTTCGCTTATTCGACCAATGCGAAAAGAGGTGGAGCCGCGTCAAAATTTTGTGCAGCTTACACGCCCCGACTGATTTTACTGATAACTACTGTATATCTGGTGAAGTTCCTCCAATCCTTTTGTGCCCTCTTGCATATACTACATTTCTGAATCACTAAAGATTCGATTCGCTAGAGCAGGGAGTTTTAAAGAAATATCTGGCCATAATCGGATGATAGGAGACGTATGACCTTTTCCTTTTCATTTTCTCATTGATGCACTCCCCTTTTACTTCGTGTAAGAAAGGGGGCATCAGTGAGGAGGGTAGGGGTTATGGGTACGCGCCCATCTGGTTATTGCATAATTTGTCCTTCAACAAGTGAGGGTGGAGTGGAAAGGAACGAAAAGTATTGGAAGATGTCGTTCTTTACAGTTCTGTTTACTTTAGCTCTTGTACTTTTAGGTGTCGGAGGAACTAGAGTACCTTGAACGAGCACTGTTAATATTGGAGGCTACACCAAACGCTGATAGCCGATTGATCGAAGTTGTCAGGTTGGTCCTTGAAGACATAGTTCAGGTGGTACGGATTGGGGTGGGCTGAGAAGCAGTAGAGGTCGAGCCCACAGATCGCTCTGCCTTTGTTGTCCACAACCCGTGCGAGCCAGGGTCAAGCGCGTGTCAAGGAATCCTCAGCGGGGTCGACTTTGACCCGGGGAGAGGTCTCACATTTGGCAGGATGTGAGTTTTTGGTTGTCTGCTCTAAGGCAGCGTTCAGACTTCGCGACGGCAGCGCTTCGGTCGCGCGTTCGGCGCGATCGATGCGCATGCTTTCTACTGCATCGATCGCGTCGAACGCGCGATCCGAAGCGCTGCCATCGCGAAGTCTGAACGCTGCCTAACCAATGTGTAGCGGAAATGCCCCTTAAGATGTTTTAGTGGCTTTGAATGAGACACAGATACATGCATGGAGCACAGCCAGACTTTCCAAGGCATGTTTGATCTTCTTCAGTAGAGATATATTCCTGGGCAGAAGTGGTCTAATGACTGATAGCGCCGCTTATTGCCACGTGTGCGGCCAGGGGTCTAACTCCGGATCGGGTCCCTCCGGTCCAAATGACCATAAAATCTCTCCGGATGGCGAAAAATTGCAATCAGGCTCGTTTTGAAGGGGAGAAACACTGACATGTACGTCGGCTGATCCTCGAAAGTTAATTTCACGGTCATATCGCATTCAAAAAGCCTCGGGATCAGAGCTCCCCACCCCTTGTTGAGAACAGAACAGGGGTCGTAATTGATCTTCGGGGAGGGAGTCGGTTTTCGTCACTCAGGCAATTTTTCTAAACTGTTGGTTTTTCCCGTTTCACGCACTCACCCCACCCATCCTTTGACTTGGTGGCGCCTCGAAACTACTGTTTCTGGTAATTGATCAAGGTTTCTGCCCCTCCCCTCTCCCACTTTCGACGCCAGAATTTTGAGAGAAGCTGGGAAAGCAGTGGGTAGGATGGGTGAGGGGAGTTGTACCGCCGAGGGAGCCAGTAGAGGGGGGGGGGAAGCGTAATTCGCAGAAATTTTTCCACGACGTGTTGCTGTGACCTGAGTACGATTATTATGGGGGAGTTAGATGCGTGGCGCATTTTGCAATGGGGGCTGGTAAAGGGCGGAGGGGCGCCGTTTCGCGACGGGGGCATTTTGCACTTTAACGACTTCCCATCGACGTGTCGACCCATCTAGACAGCCTCTTCTCGAGTTGAGGTTTTACCATGATGGCTTGACGAGCTTGCTCCAGCTTCACAAGAGTTCACAGGTTTCACCAGAGTGAGACTTGTAAACCAGAACTAGTGAAGC